CTGATGAACATAGATGCAGAAATCCTCAACAAAATATTGGCAAATCAAATATGACAATACATTAAAAGGATTGTATACCATGATCAAGTGGGATTTATTCCAGGGATGCAGGGATAGTTCAGCATCCACAAATAAATCGATGTGATATATCAGATTAACAAAATGAGGAATAAAAATCACATAATCATCTCAACAGATGCAGAGAAAGCGTTTGACAAGATCCAACATCCATTTATGATAAAAACTCTCAATAAAATGGGTATAGAAGGAAACTACCTCAACATAATAAAGACCATATATGACAAACCCACAGCCAACATCATACTTAACAGTAAAAAACTGAAAGCTATTCTTCTGAGAACAGGAACAAGACAAGGTGACAAGACACTCTTGTCACCATTACTCAACATAGTACTGGAAGTTTTGACCAGAGCAATTAGGCAAGAAAAAGAATTAAAAGGGATCCAAATAGGAAAGGAAGAAGTAAAACTCTGTTTGCAATGACATGATTCTATATATAGAAAACCCTAAAGAATCCACCAGAAAACTTTTAGAAATAATCAATAACTACAGCAAAGTTGCAGGGTATGAAATCAACATAGAAAAATCAGTTGCATTTCTGTACACTAACAACGAACTAGCAGAAAGAGAAGTCAAAAATACAATCTCATTCACGATCACAACAAAAGAATAAAATATCTGGGAATAAATTTAACCAAGGAAGTGAAAGGCTTATACACTGAAAACTATAAGACCTTATTGAAAGAAGTCAAAGAAGACTTAAAGAAATGGAAAGATATTCCATGCTCATGGATTGGAAGAATAAATGTAAAGTATCCATATTACCTAAAGCAATCTACAGATTCAACAAAATCCCAATCAGAACCCCAATGACATTCCTCAAGAATCCTAAAATTTATATGGAGCAACAAAAGACTCCGAATAGACAAAGCAATCCTGAGGAAAAAAAGAACAGGGGCCAGCCCAGTGGCATAGTGGTTAAGTTCGTGTGCTCCACCTCAGCAGCCCAGGGTTTGCAGGTTTGGATCCTGGGTGTGGACCTGCACACCACTCATCAAGCCATGCTGTGGAGGCATCCCATATATAAAGTAGAGGAAGAATGGCACAGATGTTAGCTCAGCGACAGTCTTCCTCAATCAAGAAAAAAAAGGGGGGAAGATTGGCCACAGATGTTAGCTCAGAGCCAATCCTCCTCACAAAAAAAAAAAAAAGCTGGCGGCATCACAATCCCTGACTTCAAAATATACTACAAAGATATAGTAATCAAAACAGCATGATACTGGCATAAAAACAGACATACAGATCAATGCAACAGAACTGAAAGCCCAGATATAAAACCACACATCCATGGACAGCTAATCTTCAACAAAGGAGCCAAGAACATACAATGGAGAAAGGAAAGTCTCTTCAGTAAATGGTGTTGGAGAAGAGGAGTGTCAGAATGATGCAGCATAAGAAAGACTTGTTGATTTTAAAGATGGAGGAAAGGACCATGTGCCATGAAGTGCAGGAAGCCTCTAGAAGCTGGAAAAAGCAATGAAATGATTCTCTTCCAGAACCTCCAGAACACAGCCCTGCTGAAATCTTGATTTTAGGACTTCTCACCTTCAGAACTGTAAAATAATAAATTTGTGTTGTTGCAAGCCAAAAAAAAAAAAAAAAATGATGTTGGGAAAACTGGACAGCCACATGCAAAAGAATGAAAATAGACCATTGTCTTACACCATACACAAAAATTAACCCAAAATGGATGGAAGACTTGAATGTTAGACCTAAAACCGTAAAACTCCTAGAAGAAAATACAGGCAGTATATTCTTTGACATCAGTCTTAGCAGTATCTTTTCGAATACAATGTCTACTCAGGCAAGGGAAACAAAAGAAAAAAATAAACAAGTGGGACTACATCAGACTAAAAAGCTTTTGTAAGGCAGAGAAAACCATGAACAAAATGAAAAGACAACCCATCAACTGGAAGAAATTATTTGCAAATCATATATCCGACAAGGAGTTAATTTCCAAAATATATCAGGAACTCATACGACTCAACAACAAAAAAGCAAACAACCTGATCAGAAAATGGGCAGAGGATCTGAACAGACATTTTTCTAAAGAAGATATAAAGATGGCCAACAGGCACATGGAAAGATGTTCAACGTCATTAATTATTAGGGAAATGCAAATCAAAACTACAATGAGATATCACCTTACACCTGTCAGAATCGCTATAATTAACAAGACAAGAAATAAGTGTTGGAAATGATGTGGCGAAAAGGGAACCCTCGTATACTGCTGTTGGGAATGCAAACTGGTGCAGTCACTATGGAAAACAGTAAGGAGCTTTCTCAAAAAATTAAAAATAGCAATACCATATAATCCAGCAATCCCACTACTGGGTGTTTATCCAAAGAACATGATTTCATGTATCCAAAGAACATGAAATCAACAATTCAAAGAGATTTATGCATCCCTATGTTCATCACAGCATTACTCACAATAGCCAAAACATGGAAGCAACCCAAGTGCCAATCAATGGATGAATAGATAAAGATGTGGTATATATATATACAACAGAATACTACTCAGCCATAAAAGAAGACAAAATTGTGCCATTCATGACAACATGGATGGACCTTGAGGGTATTATGCTAAGCCTAATAAGCCAGAGAAAGACAAACACTGTATGATTTCACTCTTATGTGGAAGATAAACAAACACATGGACAAGAAGAACAGATTAGTGGTTACCAGAGGGGAGGAGGGAGGGGGAAGAGCAAAAGGGGTAAAGGGGCACATATGTATGGTAATGGATAAAACCTAGACTATTGGTGGTAAACATGATGCAGTCTACACAGAAACTCACATATAATAATGTACACCTGAAATTCACACAATGTTTTTTACGCCAGCATGACCTCATTAAAATAATTTTAAAAAATAAAAATAAGGGAATTCTACATTTGAATATTCTTATTATATGCAAGAAACATATTGGTGTCACTTATTAGCACAATTTCACACATGCGTTTATTTTAACATGGAAAATGTAAGGTAAGAAAGACCAATATAGTAGAAGATGTTTGTTCCAAAATTTTATTGTCATTGAAGACATATGAGGAAATGCTGGAAAAAATGAACATAGGAAACCCACAACTTTTTTGTAACATAAAAATGTATACTTTGAAAAACATCAGTTACTGTGAAAAGCATTAGATTTCCTTAGGTGACCATGGGCATGGGACTCTTAAGTTTCTTAACCTCAATTTTATCTATCACCTAATGGTAATATTAATCTCACATGATTTTAGAGGGATTAATTAAAATATGTATAGAAGACCACGTGAGCGATTCCACTATGTAACTGTAAGGTTCTATTTGCTCTGGGACAGGATAGTGTAGTGGATAGGAGTGCCGTCTCTAGAGTCAGACTGCCTGGTTTTGAATCCTGGCTTACCGTTGATCAGTTGTAGTATCTTGGGCAGACCACTTCATTTCCCAAAACCTCATTTTTTCCCAGCAAAATGGTGATAGTAATAGAATTTACGTTGTGGGGTAGGATTAAATAAGACATATGAAGCACAATGCACATCATAAAGTGTTAGTTATCTTACTAATATTGAAGCAGTAAGTGTCCTTTTTAACACAAATACTAATATGAAATACATCCTCCTCCATCTCTTATTCTTATAAAGGAATCAAATGGAACTGATTAATCTGAAGAAAATTATGACAGGAGAAAGAGAATCTCATGAAAAACTTTCATGTAGTTTAATATCAAGTGCTTAAAATGAACACTGGCAAATTATTATAGGATCAAAGTGATGTAACTAAATAAAATTTTTAAACTTTATTTAAATGGCAAAAAATAAAGCTAAAAGACAAACTGAGAAACATAAAATCTATGATGTAAGTTATAAAAATAAATCATAAACGAGATAAATACTTCTAACAGAAAATTGGGCAAAGGTGTTAACAGACAATTCACAAAAGAAATACAAATGATTAAAAGCATTAAAAGACGTTTAACCTCCCTTTTAGCCAAAGACATGCAGATGGGCAAAGAAGAAAATATCCAGTGTTGGTTAAGGGTGTGAGAAATAGGCCTACAAACTCATGTGTTATTGGAGAAAGTATGATCATATATTGTTTCAAATCTTCATTCTTTTTAATCCAGCAAATATACTTCTAGAGATTTATCCCAAAGGAGAGAGTTTGAAAAATGCACGAAGATGTATATACACAACATCATTTCTAATAGTAAAATATTTTAAATGACCTAAGTTTCTAATAGCAGGCATTGATTATATTATCTATGGTCATCCCTTTACTGGAATATTATTCACCCATTGAAATAATGATATAGTTTGTTCTTTTATCATTCAACAAATATTTGAGTGCATGAGACCATTCGTCCATTGAAATTGATGGTGTATTTTATTCATTTAATCATCCAACAAATATGCAAGTGTATCCTGTGTGTTCTACAGTAGGCATACTTGGTGAATGATACAAAGGCCCGTCCTTTGCATTCCTGTTCTACATTTATTCACATAGAAACATTGTTACAACATTTTGCCTGAAAAAGCAGATTTTAAAAAGAGTACGTATAGTGTGATTTCATTTGACTTAAATTTATGCAACAAAATATAAATATTAAAATTATAGATTATATCTAAGCATTTCCCTAGTGAGAAATTTGGATAGATGTCATGAAAATGTTTGTAGTGGTTTTTCTTGGATGCTAGAATTTGGGGGTGATTTTTACATTCAACTCCATAATTTCTGTCATTTATTTTTTAATATTTTTATATTAATATGAAATAAAAGATTTAACAGATTATGTCACATTAGTGATAGTGACTTGATGAAACTTCAGGTGTGGTGCCCACTGCAAAATATTTTTTCATATGATGTTATGACTCCCTAACTGTAAGTTTATATTAATACTGCATTCTGCCTTTTTTGGAATAATGTAATTACAGGATGGAGTCAAACAATATACAAGTACTTCAGGTTCTGCTGTCAAAACCTCTGCTTTAGTCGGTGACCCAGGTTTAGGCCTACAAGCATACAGCCGACAGGTAAGCAGGAAAGATGTAGAGATACCACTTCTCCTACAGACCATTGGATAGTAGAATGCAGTAACTCAGTCATTTACATTAGCAAAGATTGTTTGTTTGGTAATGAGGCTAAAATTGTAATAAGAGGAGAGATTGGAAGAGAACTTCCTTGACCCTTCATAGAACATTAAATTTCAGCTGATCTTGGACAGTATAATCAAGGAAAATAATTTCTTGGTACATATGAAGAAGATTTCAGTGGCAGAAGTTGAAATGGCTATCTTAGTGGAAAAGAGAGAATAAGATATAGAACAAGATAGAACACATATAGGTTGATGTATTCTTGGGTTAAGAGAAGAAAGAAGAATGTCAAATGCTTAGTCTAAATTTTTTAATTCTTTGAAGTGGTCATAAAATTGGCCAGTACATAACCATCAACTGATATATTTACAATTTGTATGTTTATATTTACATTTACAACTGTACATTAATATCAGTTCCCTAAAATTTTGTGGGTTTAATTTATGTCCATTTTTAATGACTTATAGTGAAAGTGTTTGCATCTTAGAATAATACTAGCTCAAGAAACAATCTTTTTGGTATTTAGGAATGGCAAATAAATTCAGCCACCCACCTAAGATAACTGATAGACTATGAAGCTATTGTTGAGAGAATAGAAATGTCCAATTTTGTGGAACCATACATTGAAAAAGATATATCTAAAAGTGTATGATACTTAATAGTGCCATTTGGAAGTACATTCATTAGCAAATGATTAGCATTACATTTCAGAAACATGGTGTAAAAATAAAGGGGGAAATGTAGAATTAGAGATACCAGGCCTTTAATTTTTAGGCTGTCAATTAGAAGTCAGTATTACCTTGAGTGGGGAAAAAAAATCACTTAATCTCCTTTGAGCCTGTTTCCTTATCTATTAGAAAGAGAAGAGAGAGAGAAAGGGATGATGATGATGATGATGATGTTGATGATTTCCTGTCATATGTCTCAAGATTTTTGTAAGAAACTAAAAAGCTTTTGGAAACCAAAGCCATTTTATAAATATAAATTATTATTGTTATTGTTGTTGCTATTTAAGATACACATGCTGAATTACTCTAGAATTTGCTAAAATAATAGTACACTGCCATTTGGCAAGTGCACATGCTTGTATATGCATTTGTTTTAGATAGGTTTTGCACATTGAAGAATTGTAATTAATCCAAATGTAAAACTATCCCCCCCCAACTTGGATCTTTTCTAAGCACCAAACTGCATAATCAAATTAAATATGTAAAAGTGACTGAATAGCTATCGAGAAGTCTATAAAGCTTTTGTGACATTGATTCACTGAGAAATAGAACATCATCACCTTCACTTCCCCCACCACACACACAAACTGGGGCCAGGGAATTAAAAAATCTAGGTGAAGGCTATAGAAAAAAGCACCTTTACTTCATCATAAATCTTCTTATTAAAACGGAGTAAGGTAGATCGGTAACAATTTGTGGTACCCAGGTAAAAGGTTAAATGAGTGACTTCTGTTTGTGAAAATTCATAGAATTATAAATTTATGATATGCGCACATTTCTCTGTATGTGTTAGACTTCAATAAGAAGTTTAAATGAAGGGGCTTATATAAGCCGTATTACCTTCAGTTTATTTCCTCGGGCAAATATTTCCAAAATTAACTTTAAAAATTGTCTTTCTAGCCAACCTGGTGCTACTCCAAGTACATAGAAGCCTTAGAACAGGAAAGGATTCTTCTTAAAATTCAAGAAGAATTGGAAAAAAAGTTGTTTGCAGGTAATTATTGCTTTTTGTTTACAGAGTTGCTATGTTATCATTTATCACAGATTAATTTTAGAGAACTTTGCCAATGATTACTGCACTGTTTTCCTTATTTCTCTATTTTTGTGCAGCCGCACCATCTTTTACAAATTTTAAGTCTACTGCTTCGGCTGCATCTCTGAAAAAGATTGTATCTTGCCACAACATCCTGAGTGAGTTTCCAGTGATAGTCTATCTTCAGTTGTTTTCCCCTTTTTGTTAGAATTCTGCCGCTCACCTGGCCATCCAGAACATACAGGGCAGAAAGGGATGAGGACTGACTCCCTCCCGACTGCTCTGACCCCCGAGTTAGGAGAATTTCTTTGTGTGTGTGTGTGTGTGTGTGTGTGTGTGTGTGTGTGTGTGTGTCTCCTGTCTCTTTCTGCTGAGGAGGAAAGACTTAAGATGTATACCTAACACTTCATCCCCTTTCCAGAGTGAGAGCACTCATGTGAGCGTATATCCTGCTGCTGATAGGTGCAAGGTAAGACTGAAAGTTGATCATACCCTCTATATCCCTCTAAGACACACCCTCATGCACACTCACACATATGCACACCCTCAGAACACATGCACACACACATACATGCCCCGCTAACAAATTGATGGATAGGAGCCTCTTGCCTCCCTTCTGAATGGCACAGTCTCCTGAAAAGGAAGGCTTCTGGGGAATGATCATTTACTGCTGCTATTTACTCCTTATCTATTCTTCTCTTCCACAAAGAACATGTATGGAAGAATGGGCTCGAGCTCAGTTTCCCAAGTTTTCACAAGCTGAGATTTCCAAGCTCCACTTTCCCAAGTTGGGAATATAAGAAGGAACTGAAAATAACTGAAAATCAAACCGGGGTCCTTCTCTCATATGGATACTGATGTGATTTTATGGTTTTGATTGGATACTAATGTTAGAGTTTAACAATGCCCCCACAAAGGAGTAGTGTAGTATAATGTAGGGTAACCCATTGACCTAATGCTTGAAGAACCCAGTAAAAGTCTCCTTTCTCTTATCTTCTGTCCTTCAGCTTGGCTTTTTGTTTCCCCAAATCTTCAGTTTTCTGGTTCTTAGGTGGGTGTGATGAGGAGGCCTTTTATGTTCTTAGCCTGCTCATCTTTTTTCTCTTGTGGTTGATCCTGGCCACTACTCCCTTCTGACAGTTCCCCCACGCCTTAGACCAGCCTCACAGCAGCCCCAACATTTAGGTTTTGCTGACACATCTGTTAACTTTTTTGATCCTTATTACAACTCTGTGTAAGTTTTTTGTTGGATTTGTATTTTCTGTAGTTGCTTATGTTTTCAACCATTTATTTTTCTTTTGCAGAAATTTAAACCAAATTTAACTGTCATGGAAGCTCAAGTGATTTTGATGGTCTGCATTAGAGCAAGCCTACCATCTAAATAAAGTTTGGCTTGTTTTACTCCCACAGTTTTAAAATACAGCTATCCTATTCACATGACACACAAGACTATAAAATGTTTAAAAACTTATTTAGAATAAAATGACTTCTAGCTAGGTTAGAAGAATCAAAATGTTTTGCTTATCACAGACCTTAAGGAAGGATAATGTTACACTCCTCAAGTAATCTTTCAACAAATATTCCTTGAGCATTTACTATATTTGATTAGCAGATATATTCAGTAGGTGGTTAGGGGACTAATATTCCTAGCAATAAATTGACGCAAAAGATAATGGGAGGAGCCTTCCCCACCCCATCCCTATCCTCAACTCTAAAGGAACCATATATTAAAGCAGTGGTTCTCAAACTTGAGTGGGCATAAGACCCACTTGTGACATTTTACGACAATGCAAATTCCTGGGCTCACTCTCTGAAGAGAGTCTGATTCTTGGGCAGTAGTTCTTGAGCAGGCCCCAGGGATCTCCCTCTTTAAGGTGATTCTGATGCAGGTGTTCCACAGACCACTCTGTGACAAACTGTTAAGGCAGCAAGATAAGAGATTTAAAAAGTAAAAGCCCTCTTATTAACAGGAGTTAAACTTGTAGCAAAGAGAATCCAGACATACCCTCCTATCCTCTTTCCTGGAGGGAAAGGAGAATGTGCAAGAAATGACCTGGGAGGATGAACCTTCACCATCTGTAGGCCTCAGGACTCAGAAGCTCAAAGGACTATAATCTGGATTACTGGATTGGAAGCATTAGACTTCCCCTCTAATACAATCCCAGAAAGTATTTTCAGAGTAGAAACTGCCATTCCTAATTCTCTAAAGAGTGAGACATTTTAAAGGGGGAAAGCATCAGATGGCACTTCAGAGATCATTTTTTTCTAAAGTAGTGGTTTTTGGACACTTTCTTTTTGAAGCGTTGGAACCTTGTATTTTCCTCTGCTTCCATACTGCCTCATACAGCATAGCGGCTGTGAAGTTTGTATCTGTGTTCCATTCATTGCGCTTGTTCTTTGTTTCTTTTTTTGTATTCCACTTTTTTTCTGCCTTCTCTTGGTTTTAATTGAGCATTTTATGTGATTCCCTTTTGTCTCCTCTCTTAGCATATCAATTAGACTTCTTTTTAAAATTTTCTCATTGGTTTCCCTAGAGTTTGAAATATACATTTACAGCTAATGAAAGTCTACTTTCAAAATAACACTATACTGCTTCATGGGTAGTGCAAGTACCTTATAATAGAGTATGTCCAATTCCTCCCTCCTGTCCCTTATCACGTTGCTGTCAATTCGTTTCACTCATCCTAAGCTATAATCACTGAATGCATTATTGCTATTATTATTTTGAACAAACTGTTTTCTGTTAGGTCAATTAAGAATAAGAAAAATAATACATACTATTTTACCTTCATTTATTCCTTCTCCAATGCTCTTCTCTTCTTTATGTGTATCTGAGTTTCTGACCTATATCATTTTTCTTCTCATTGAAGAATTTCTTTTAACATTTCTTGCAAGGCAGATATGCTGGAGACAAATTCCCTTAATTTTTATTTGCCTTAGAAAGTCTTTATTTCTCCTTCACTTCTGAAGGATAATTTCACTGGATACAGAATTCTAGGTTAGTGGTTTTTTTCTCACAACACTTCAAATATTTCACTCCAGTCTCTTCTTGCTTGCATGGTTTCTGAAGAGAAGTTTGCAATTCTTATCTTGTCCCCCTGGCTTCTTTCAAAATTTTCTCTTTGTCTTTGATTTTCTGCAATTCAAATATGATGTGTGTAGGTGTAGATTTCTTGGTATATATCCTGCTTGTGTTCTCTGAGCTTCCTGGATCAGTAGTTTGGGGTCTGTCATTAATTTTGGAAAATTCTCAGTCATTATTACTTCAGATATTTCTTCTGTTCCTTTCTCTTTCTTCTTCTTCTGGTATTTCCATTACACGTATGTTACATCTTTTGTAACTGTCCCACAGTTCTTGGATATTCTGCCTTTTTCATTTTTGTTTCTCTTTACTTTTCAGTTTTAGAATTTTCTGTTGACCTCTCTTCAAGCTCACTGATTCTTCCCTCAGCTATGCTAGTCTATTGATTAGCCCATCAAAGGCATTCTTCATTTCTTTTATGGTGTTTTCAATTTCTAGCATTTCCTTTTGATTCTTTCTTAGAATTTCCATCTCTCTGCTTACATTACCCATCTATTCTTACATGTTGTATACTGTTTTATTAGATCTCTTAACATATTAATCATGGTCATTTTAAATTTATAGTCTGATCATTCTAAAATCTCTACCATATCTAGATCTTGTTCTGATGCTTGCTTTGTCTCTTCAGACTGTGTTCTGTTTTTTGTTTTCTGGGGCTTTTATTTTTTTTCTTTTAGCATGCTTTGTAATATTTTGTTGAAAACAAGACATGATGTATCAGGTAAAAGGAACTGAGGTATATGGGCCTTTAATGTGCGGTTTTATGTTTATCTGGCTAGGAGTTAGGCTGTATTTACTGTTTGCTGCAGTTGTGATGTTAGAGGCTGAAATTTCCTCTATGTCCTTGTTTTTGTCTCCTCTGTTGTTTGGGGTTTTCCTAGAGACTCCTTAATAGGGTCTGAGGCTTGCAGTTCTTTTAGCTGTAATCCCTGTTATTATATAGGAGCTTTGTTGATGTGGTGGTAGAATATGAGAGGAGAGGAAGACTGAGATTGGATCTCAGCCTTTTAGTAAGCCTGAGTTGAGTATTTCCCTTTCCCCAGGTCATTTAGGCTTTGATGAAACCCCAGCCTGTTACGCTGTGGTGAAATATCTTCCCTTTAGGGTGGGCCTTGTTAGGAAGAACAGAGAGCTCTGGGTGTATTCCAAAATGGTTACTTTGCTCCTCCCCCTGCCAGAAGCTGGAGGGAGTTTTTCTCTGATCTTTACAGTGAGAACGTGGTAGAGCTCCTGGAAGTAAAATTCAAGAATGTGGGGGCCCCTTGGATTTTTTAACTCTCAAGCTAGTCTACACTCAGGCAATTCATCAATTACAATTTAAAGTATTCCTGCCGAAATTAGCTCTAGCTGTTGGCTTCTGCTCCCAGTAACTGTAATTCTCTGTATCTGCCTGTCTGTCTCTGCAGTTTTAGGGGCAGCAGTTTGCCCTGTTAACACAATTCTTTGAAGGATCCAAGAAGACTTGTTGATTTTCAGTTTGTTTAGCTTTTTTTCCTTGTTGTGAGGATGGCAGTGATGGCTTTTAAACTCTTTACATATTGGGTGGAGGCCCTGAAGTTTGACACCAGTATTTTAAGGGATTCTGTAGTCAGTTTTATTAAGATAAAATTAAGAAAACTTAAAGTTTTTATTGTGTTATATGTATATTTTTAATTGATAATTTTTATTTTATAAATATTTACATGTTCATTTTTGACCTACCCTCAAAGCGTCCCACAGCATGGGCTAATCTCAATTTTTCCCACTAGAGGCAATTCCTTATATTAGTGTGCTCAGGAAGTGTCTTCTGGCTGTAGTTCTACTGATTCTTTTTAACATCTCTTCAGTGCATCTCCTTCTCCTTCTCTGTCCCCCATTGGACGACTGCCTTATTCTAGATTCTTATCATCTTGGATCCAAGTCCTAATTAGTATCTCTTTCTCCTGCCTGGCCTGCCTCCAGCTGTTCTCAGAGCTATCTTTCTAAAATGCATACCTTCCTATGTATTACCTTGCCTAAAGCCTTCATTGAGATGATTGGTAAACCTGTTATATTGGTAAAATAGAAGTTCCTTACTTAGCATGGCATATGCATAAGACCCTCCTGTCTTCTGATATAAACATTCAGATCAGGCATTTGTTCCTCTAGGAAGCCATCTTTGATATTCTTTTCTTGCCCTAGATCCCTCAAACAGCCACAGAAGTTATCACTCCCTCTTCTGTCCTACCACTCGAGCTTGTTCATTACTCTATAACAACACTAGTCGCCTTGACTGTAATTTTTTGTTCACATACCTATTTCCCTAATAAAACTGTTATTTGAATTTTCGTTCCAGCACCTTACACAGAACATCTAGAAAATAGATTTTCATTAAATGTTTGTTGAAAACATGAAAGAGGGGCTGGCCTGCTGACATAGCGGTTAAGTTCGTGCATTCTGCTTTGGTGTCCCAGGGTTTTGCCAGTTCGAATCCTGGGTGCAGACATGGCACTGCTCATCAAGCCATGCTGAGGTGGCATCCCACATGCCACAACTAGAAGGACCCACAACTAAAAATACACAACTATGTACCGAGGGGCTTTGGGGAGAAAAGGGAAAAATAAAAAAGTCTTAAAAAAAATAAAAAGAAAAAATGAAGGAAATATGTTCCCTGTAAAATCGTAGGAAGATAAAAATCACTGTTCATCTAACAAAATTCAATATAACGCTACTCACAAAAAATTGCCATTGGTGTTTTTGTAATTATAAATACATAGTAATGTGGCAATTTTATGTAAAGTATATAATCTCTGTTCTATCTACATCACTTTTCATATTTATGAAAATACATCTTTGTGTCATCATGTCTTTCGGAGAAGAAATTAATGCTTATTAAATCACGTTAAATCACTTTAATCACTTTAGGCCTGGGTTTCTCAACCTCAGTACTATTGACATTTTAGCCAGCTAACACTTTGTTGTAGAAGATTATCCTGTGCAATGTAGGGTGTTTAACAGTGTCCCTGGCCTCTACCCACTTTATGCCAGTAGCACCTCCCCAGTTGTGAAAACCCAAAATATCTCCAGACATTTTCCTAGTTGAGAACCACTGCTTTAGACTGCTGTTTTATTTTTTGAAATTTCTAATTACAATAGAACCTTTAAATTCCAGTTCCCTGGCATATCATTTTTTTAAAAAAAGATCACACCTGCTGGCTCCATAACACTACCAGCAGTGCCTTATAACTGATGATGACTTATTTGTTTTAGTGAGTATCTATATTACATCCACTTGAATAATTTCTCTTCTTTTACATCATCTTTGGAAATATAATGCCTAAAGAAGATGCTCAGCCAATGTTTGTTGAATTAATAAAACTTAAATTCTTTACTTACATTTAATGTAACATATACTATATTTTAGGTAATCTTAAAAGTAGCTTTAAATCTGACTTAGGTTTGTACAAATAAATAAATAAGTTTTAATTGTGCTATATGTTTGCATCTGATCTGTTTCTTGATTTTACAAGTTTTCATTAAAGAAAAGACAACTTGCTTTTTGAAGAGTCCTAGGTTTTAAAAATACCCAAATTACTATGTATATGATGTCAGCTTATACCTTTAAAAACATGAGAAAGTTGAGCTCATACTTTGTTTGCATTATTGTTTGGGGTGAATAAATGTATTTTGAAATAAATACAATAGTGAAATAATACAAAAGTAATTTGGCCAGTTGGGTCAGATTCAGCTTGTGTGTATTATTTTCTAATAAACAAATTTAATATTAGATATATAACCTAATTCATGTTATATTTCTTAAATGTGTGTCATCACTTATCATATAATTGAAAATTTCTTTATAGTACATAATCTGTGAATAATTGATTTTTTCTTAATTGGCATACTATTTTTAAAATTACAGTGACCTTTCTGCTTCAGAAATATCTCAGTTGGTATATATCCAATGATTCAGTAAGCTTTGGTTCTAATCTTGGATCTATTGCTACCTTTCTGACTGAGGGTCATTTATTTTACTTCCTTCAGTCTCGGTTTACTCATGTGTAAAGAACAGAGGTTCCCTTTGTTTTTTAGCTCTAATATTATGTGATTCTATGAGTTTCTAATATTGAAGCTTTTTAAAGTGTAACTGTCTGCGGAGGTTTGGGGTATTCCTCGATGATCAATTATTTCTATATTTTGAATTAGAACTTTA